GGTAAACATTTTAAATTCAAAATGAACAGAACGCAACTTGTACCTTTTGTGGGCCTTATTTATATCTTCAAAATGTATTGTTAACTTATTTTAGATATACTCATTTTATTTACTTTTATAATTATATTTAAATTAATAGTATAATGATTTTTAAATTTAATTTTTAATGTATAGATACAACATTAAATTTTACTAAATATTTAACATTAAATCTTACTAATATTAAAGTTTGTTAAGATTTTTAATTAGATCTTCCTATTTAGCTGAATGTCCTAATATGTATACTAGTGTTTTTTTTCACAACTAAAATATGTTAAAATAATTAATCACATATATACATACCTAATAGGATCTCTAGGAAACAGAAAGAAACTTTTATTGAACAACAAAAATAAAACTACTAAAACAAATTATATTACATTATAATAATAATAGCTCCTGTATATAGCGTTTGACGCCTTGGGAGTAGCAAGGTACAACTTGCCATACTAGAGCCGTTCGGTATACAAAGGAAGGTAATGTGGCTAGCACTACGCTTCAACCGCCTATTATTTCTCGAAATTTCGCGTTACCTCAGGATTGTGAATCCCAAGTACTCATTTAAGGCTGAGTCGACCTAGGTACCCAAACTATTTTTATTTTAATAAAAATTGTCGGCTGATGAAATGCCGGGTGTGGGATTCGAACCCACTACCTTGAGATTGGTAGACGAGAGCCTGTACCTCTACGCCACCGGGCATCTTTTAGCAATTATAATACATAAGAAACGAAAATAAAACTAGAAAACCCAACTATATCACATAATAAACAAAAATAAAAAAACCAAAAAAAATATATCACTCAAGAAAAAATCAAAATAAATTAAGTCGCACGCTACTGACCCGAATCTGCCGTAACTGAAAACTAAAATATTTTTGATAAATGTTTTCACTACGCCTATGGTGTATCTGGTGGTTTCAATGAGGTTTCAATGACTAAAGAATACAAGGACAAATAGCAACCGAGACCAAACTGTGACCATTCTTCCAAACAGTGCCGTGGCACATATATTTCTTAATATAGCCGCTTGAAGCGATATTTATATTTTTGGTAAATGTTTTCACTACGCCTCTGGTGTATCCTGTGGTATTATACTAATTAATTACGACAAAAACGTATTAAAACGTTAACAAAAGGTACAAAACTAGTATCGACGTATAGCACATATCAAATATATATAATATCAGAAAAATAATTATCGAATTCAATAAAAAAAAACGCTAAAAAGGTGTAGTGGACTGTTTAGCGTAACTGTTGACTATCATTGCGCCTTTTACACTTGAAAGCTGAACAAATTACCATTGTAATAAAGTTTATACAAAGTTTACTACACACAACCGACTATTAAAAATCGCTAAAATTGTCGCTGATGACCACCTGATGACCAACTGATGATTCATTCGTTATGTCCAAAAAAATGGCGTCTAAAGGTCACAAATTTTGCTGCAGCCCGTATATGGTCTTTACATGTCCTTGTATTCTTTATATAGTCATTGGGTGGTATCATACTAATTACGAAAAAAAAACGTATTAAAATGTTAACAAAAGGTGTACAAAACGAGTATCGACGTATAGCACATATCAAGTACATATAATATCAGAAAAATAATTATCGAATTCAATAAAAACACGCTCAAAAGGTGTAGTGGACTGTTTATTTCCCTATAAAACGTAACTCTTGGCTCTTTCTTATCATTGCGCCTTTTACACTTGAAAGCTCAACAAATTACCATTGTAATACAGTTTATACAAAGTTCACTACACACAACCACCTATTACAAATCGCTAAAATTGTTGCTGATGGCCAGTTCATAACTCATTCGTTATGTCCAAAAAAATGGCGTCTAAGGTCACAAATTCTGCTGCAGCCCGTATATGGGCGTTACATGTCCTTGTATTCTTTAGGCCCGTATTTATAGTTGCATCTCGAGACGCCAAGACGGTCTTGGGCTCTCGAGAGCGGAATCCACAGAATACACAAGGAAACGTCATTTTGGAGATTGCGATTTTCATTTTGGAGATTGTCATTTTGGATAGTTTATGTTATCTGTGGATAGTTTCTTAACCTAACTTTTTTAGTAAACAAAATAAATCCCTTGCAAATCCGTTTTGTCTGATTAAACAGTTTTGAATATGTTAGAAGAGTGTGAGGATATTTTGGACCATGTGGAAGAAGAAAATCGTGTTCGAGTTCCAAAAAGATATATACGGAATGCAGGAAATCCAATAGAAATGTTTAGCGAGGGGGGATTTATGCCAATATAGGTTTAACAAGGCTACAATTACAGAAACTATTTTACCTCTTATAAATTGAAGACTTGCAAAAACCTACCAATCGTGGTTTACCCATTCTCCCCGTTATTCAATTACTAATTTGTTTATGGTTTTATACGACTTGTAGTTTTCAGATATTAAATGGAGACATGCTTGGTATTAGCCAACCTACAATAAGCCAGATTATCAAGAGGGTGTCCATTTTAATAGCAGAACATTTGGGTGAATTTGTATGATGCAACCATAAATGGTTGAACAGCATTATTATTCCAATGATACTGCCTTCAGCTTGTGCAGATGATAACAACAAATGGGATACATATATTAAGAATATAGAAAGAGCTATAAATACATCTGTGAATAAATCCACTGGCGAAAAAAACTCCTGAATTATTATATGGATATATTCCGAAGATTGAAGATGGATAAGTGAGATTATTGACGGTAGAGAATGAAAAGTATTCAATTACCTGAAAAATTGAGAAAAGAGGTCAAAGAACATATAGAAATGGAACAAAGGAAGTATAAAAAAATTATGATAAACATATAGATTTAAAGGTATCACAAAGATAGGAGACATGGTCTATATGAAAAGTGCTACTAAATATAAGGGACTATTTACAGTGACACAAGTTCTACCCCATGACACAGAAAAACACATAAACAGAAGTATTTAGAAGAATATGTTTAATGTTTAATGAATACTACTTTTGGTTTATTTAGTTTTGAATAGTTTCATAAATTTTTAAAATCTTTAAATATCATAAATTTAGAATGAATATTTTTTTTATTGTTGTAGGTAATTTTTAAGTTAGTTTTGTTAATTAAGTCTTGGAGACTAAGACATAGTCAGGTTGGACGAGTGTCAGAGAATAAATTAAATTTATAAGTAAAGGCAAAAATTGTCAGTCACTGATTTACGTAGCAGACTAGAAAAAAAAGAATAGAGAAGAATGTCATCTAGACGAGAAGAAATAAGGAAGCAGTAAAAACGCAATAATCATAGAATGTGTATTGTGAAATATTATTCTAAATAAAACTATAAAACATGGAGTATCAACTTTATATAGAGTGGTCAACTCAATAAGAATACAGAATTTACACCAAGGAATAAAATCTTGAAAATTATAGGTATACGGTATACATCCAATATTGTATATTATGTGATATGATATTTATATAAATATTCATGATGAAGAAAATAAAAAGACAATTTTTTTAGTTTTAATGTATTAGTGGGAAAATTCTGTGTGACCAGTTAAAACAAGCACTTAACTGTCTGGTCATAGTGAGCGTAAAACTACTAAGAAATCATATGTTATTTAAGTATAGAAAAACAGTATTTTTATGATAACTAATAATAGACTATAAGAAATTACTTAAAATATGTTACATGTAAATATATAAACACTAACTTAACACTAATAGAAAAGTAAATAAAATTATTATATAGGTACTAGTTACCTTGGAACATTACTTAACATATTACATAATTACTAGATATACATATATTAATACAATAAATACATTAATTTGCAAAATGTTGAATAAGATTTCTTCAAAAATCTAACCCTCTTCCTTTTTATTTATAATTGGAATGTGTAAATTAGCATCTTCAAAATTATCTAAATTTTCCCTTAAACCAATATTATGAAGAACAGCTGTTGCACAAATAATAGCAACAGTTGTTTTGTAAACCTCGGAGAAATGGAAGACGTTTTTACCAAGTCCCAAATAGCCTTTCAACATTTCGCTTTCTTCTATGGGCAAAGTTATACCTGGTTTCTTGTTGATTACCTAGCTGTAGAACAGAAGTCAATAGAATTGGCCTACATCTATATGCATTGTCTCCAAGAAGTAAATCACGAATATCACGCCTTTCCATTAGCATTCTTAAAATTACTTCGATTGAATATAACACTATCATGACTTGACCCTGGATATCCAACTATAATATCCATAATTTCCCTTTGGGACCTGAACATTTAGACCTATATTGGCATAAATCCCCCTCAAGCAAACATTTTCTATTGGATTTTCTGCATCCCGTATATACCTTTTGGAACTCGAAGACGATTTTCTTCTTCCACATGGTCCCAAAATATCCTCAAACTCTTCTAACATATTCAAAATTCAAAACTGTTTAATCAGACAAAACGGATTTACAATGGATTTATTTTGTTTACTAAAAAAGTTAGGTTAAGAAACTATCCACAGATCACATAAACTATCCAAAATGACAATCTCCAAAATGAAAATCGCAATCTCCAAAATGACGTTTGCTCGTGTATTCTGTGGATTCCGCTCTCGAGAGCCCAAGACCGTCTTGGCGTCTCGAGATGCAACTATAAATACCAGCCTTTTAGTCATTGCTCTCGGGCAAGTCCACAGGCAAGTCTGCCAAACGCGAAAAGCTTGGCTTGCCAAAGACTTGATCCGGGATGGATTCGGGATTCGGGCCACAAATGCAACTATTTCATCTAAAACCCGGGTTCGCAATTGAGTTCACAATTCTTTCGGCGTATGGAACCATAGAGTATGGAACGCTATGGGTATTACTCACGGATGTATATAATACATCCGTGGTAAAATTGCAAGGTAAAGTATCGATACCTCAAAAGATCGAGTCGTGTGGAACATTCCTATTATAGCATAACCTATAATTTTTAAATTTTGTGTTATTTTAGTTTGCTGTGGTCTGTTCCGTGGTTGTTGTCATGTCATGTTGTTGTTTGGAAAGATTGGAAATTGTTGGATAGGGAAGTTGCAAATAGGAAATAGGAAATAGGAAATAATAATAATACAAAACTGTAAATATCATGTAAATTAACAATAAAATGGAAAAAGCATATCAAAATAAAGTTGTTGAAGATATATGCATAATTTGTGGGGAATATCATTTTTATAAAAATTGCAAATATACAGTTAACTCTAGACAGGTAATATATTTGTAAATATTGCTAGTTAATTTATTCAGGTATATTTTATGGCGGTACAGATTTTGGATAAATTAATTCCTACAAGAGCCAGACTTACATTGCCAGATATGTTGGAAATAAGAACAATGGCAACTGGCATGCACACAGTTGTTACAAAAGCAGTTTTAGCAGCTGGAACAGAATTTGGACCATTTATTGCTAAAAAAGAAAACACCTTAAATCCTTTTATTCAATTTCCACTTAAAATATTTTCTGAGGAAAATTTCACATCAACAGAATATTACTTAGATACAAGTGATGAAACGGAGTGTTCTTGGATGATGTTTGTTTCTCCTGCTAATGATGTCTCAGAACAAAATTTAATTTGTTATCAAGTAATTGTCTTAGTTTATTAGGTAGCTAATTTATTAAAGAATTATCTAGTAACCGTAATGTTTTACAAAGAATTAAATATCACAATTATAATGTACTTTTATGTTACTAAGTAGGTACCTACCTAGTATATGTGTGTTGTTTTGTAGAAAGAAGGAGATATATTTTTTATGGCCATAAGAAGTATAGCTGAAGGGGAAACTTTAAAAGTGTGGTATTCTCCATATTATGCAATCAAAATGCAGAAAAAAATATTGTCATCAGAAATTAAGAAATCAGATAATTTACCAGGTAATTTTAATTAATGAGGTTTTATTTCTTTTGCATACAGTATAAACAATGGTTGATTGGTTGAAGCGGCAAGTAAACTACATTTAAAGAAGCAATAACATTTTTTAGTAAAGTTTATTTTTCTGGCTTGAAAGTCAGCACAAGCATTCATTCTGAAAAGTAATGTACACGGTGTTGACAATGTTTTTTTTTGTTATAGCATGCTGCATGCACATTTAAGTATCCCAAAAACCAAGGCTTGTAAACATTTAACCCTTTTAACTTATAATAACTGCTTTATTTTATCCCTAAGGATTCAAAAATGAAATAAAATACCATGTGTTCAATAAGAAAAAGTGTACCTTCTTGGATTTTTTTTTGAACAGCTTATAAATTTTGCTAAAAACAAAAAAAAATATAGAGAAAAACAAACAACATAGAAAAATAGAAATTATAGATAGTTTTGATTTCAGATTAATTCTAAGAATAAAACTTATCCTATTTAAAAAAAAAATTAAAATATACCTTTTATAATATACAATAATTTGCTTCATATTTTTAAAATATTATTTTAGAATCACCTAATAAGCCGGATTTAAATGTTCTAATAAAAGAACAGCAGAAAATCATTACAAAGGAAATTTGGAACTGCAAGTTTTGTTACAAATTAGAAGAAAGTGTCATTGAATTTGCCAAGCATCTGTACAATCACTATGCTTTGCGGAAAAGAAAATCTTGTCAATATTGTAAACAAACATTTTTACATATAAAGGTGAGATTTATGTTATTTATAGATTATGTGAGATTTATGCTTTTGTGGATTACGATAAGTAAATATGTATTTATTTTTCATTTATTAGTATGGATCGATCAACAATGATTGAAATAGTAGGCAATGCTGAGAGGTTTTGGTAATTATTGGGAAAACTGGAAATCGTCCGATTTTCACCAAAATTGGTATACACACTATTTTGAGGTCGTAGATTACGAATCTGAACTTTTTTCTTGGCGGTCTCTTACCGTTTTTCAGAAAAACGGAAAATTATTTGATCATTGAATTTTTCTTTATTTCGGCCCTATAAAGTAATAATTTCACTATATTTTCATTACATTATAGTTTATCTAAAAGCCACACTTGATTGGGGATAGAAAAATGTCCAAAATTTTACTGAAAAACAATTTTCTTAACAAAATAACAAAGAAAATTGAGACCAGATGGAAGTTTGACATTTTATATATCCTTCTTTCTCTCTCCTATGTAATGAGAGAGACAAATATATTCTAGACCTAATCTAGAAATTTGAAAATTTACAACGTTGCCATATCTTCTATTTTTTCGGGTGATTAGGGATTTTAAATAAATTACCTATTATGGGATCTGACAATAATTAAATATACCTACCTATATCCACAAAGTTACGCGGAAGAGTTTTGATTGCATTGGTTTCAACTTCTATGCGGAGGGGGTTAATCTTTTTTATTGTTATATTTATAACCACAAAGTTGCACGAAAGAGTTTTGATTGCATTGGTTACAACTTCCATGCGGAGGGTGTTAATCTTTTGTTGTTATATTATATCAAAAAAAGATTAACCCCCTCCGCAAAGAAGTTATATGCAATCAAAACTCTTACGTGCAACTTCGTGGTTATAAATAGTCAGATCTCGTTGGTAAAAACAGTTATGGGAAGGAGCCGTTCTTCTGGCGACCGCCTTTCGTAATCCCAGAATAAGCGAAAAAAACACTCTAAATTTAGGTTTAGCATTGGCATCGTTGCTTTAAATGCCAGAAACACATAACCCAACATTTTGAGATTGTTTACAAATTTATTTTAGCAAATTTTCCTCTATTATGCATAGAATCGGTTAAAAAAGTAACAGAAAACAGCAATAACATCATTGTTTATTGAATACCTAACAAAATATGCGCCAGAAAACCTTAAAAATATGAGAAATTAAGAAAAATTCGATGTTGAAATAATTTTCCGTTTCTGAAAAACTGTAAGAGACCGCTAAGAAAAAAGTTCGGATTCCTAATTTACGACCTCAAAATAGGGTGCATACCAATTTTGGTGAAAATCTGACGATTTCCAGTTTTCCCAATAATTACCGACGTTTTTAGGATCAGTAATTGGTACTGATAAAACAAATTATCGATAGAAATTTTTTATCAAATTATGTCAATTTCTTGACGTCAATTTGTTTGGCTTTTTTATCTTTTTAAAAATTTTTGTTTTGACCTGGATATTTGGGAATTTGACTTATTTTTAACTATACTATAAGTGCAAACTATAGTGTTCTACATAGTAGTTGGAATAGTTGCATCGTCTCGACATATTAAACAATATTAGAATTTGAATGTAAACAGCCAAGTAACTTATAATCTGTACAGAACCGCATTTTTTGAGTACAGTTAATTATCTAATATTGAAAAGGGTATAGTTTGACGAATTTAAAATACTGTTGACCAGGAAGTAACAAACGAAGATAGAAAAGTATTATAAGCCCATATAAAGGTATATTTTGTCGTTTAAATTTATAAAAATATGTAAAACTTTTTACTACTACTTGCAAATGTATTTTATTGTATATAGGACACCTTCTAACAATGGCGGCAAATAATGAAAAATGCTGTTAAAAAAAATCAAATAATAACGTCATTTTTAGCATAAAAACTAGAGAAATACACTTTCTCCATTGAAATTAGTTAAGTTGGTTTTTCTTGTAAAGGCTGTGCCCACCTTCTTCATCAGAATTCACGAGCCGCTACTGCCTAGTTTAGCGTTGCCAACTTTCAAAATAAAAGATAGAGCACAAGAGGTAAAAAAGAGCTACAGGCGAAACATTTTTGAAACCTCGCCTAAATGTTCTCAAGAACTTACCAGAAAGTTATGTAAACATTATGCGGATGACGGACTTTCTTATACACCCGGAAAACAGTTTGGTTTGGTTTGAAACAAGGTTCAAGGTTGTTTCCTCGCCTCAAAACTACTCGTGAAATTGCAGAGAAACGCCTGAGGGATTTTTTGGCGACTTTCGGTTGTTTCCTGTCGTCTCGTTCAATTTCGTCTTGTCTCGAGTTACTTCCACGACGCTACGTGTCGGTTTCTATACCCGAGACAAAGGACTTTTTTTCCTAAATCACAGTGAAATAAGTAAACCTAGACGTTTCTGTTGTTACGATGATATTTTGTTAATTACAACATAAGTTTATCTCAACACCGGTGTTTATTTCAGCACCGGTGTTCATCTACAACACCGGTGTTTATCTCGACACCGGTGTTTATCTCAACACCGGTGTCGAGATCAATACCGGTGTCGGTGTCGATGTCGATGGTGCCGTTTGTTTGTTTTTTTTTAGATTTTTTTAATGTAAAGCCCCATACTCACACTTCGCTACTTCACTTCCTTCCTTCGTCGCGTCCCTTCGTCCAAAAATCTTATATTTACTATGGGAAATGTCGATTTTATGCGACTGTGTGTTCCTTCCTTCTTTCGTCAAAACGCTCCTTCGTCCGTTTACTTCCTCGAAACGCTCCTTCCCCGTATGGTCGGTTTTTGGACGAGGTAGCAAAGGAATTATCACGAACACAATAAAAGTATTAAAATATATAAAATATATAAATCGATCTTGGATTTCATTCGTAGTTGATTTCTTGATTTGGCAGTACGTCTGTACAGGGTGTCCCATTTTCGTGTGTTTTGCAGGGTTTCTCTTTTATGAGTCGAGATACAAAGATGCGGTTTTCACATTACGCTGTTACTTTTTTATGAAACTAAAGATGCTACATACAGATATGTCCTACCTCTCTTACTTCCTAAAATACAGGGCGAATCTGAAATTTTTGCATTTTTCGATCCCCTTTGTATCATAACTTATCGAAAAGGTAAAAACGGTCTCCCCTACAGTTTTTCACGTAGAATGCCGTGACGTAACTATTTCTTCGTTGGAATCTGTCTTTTTTTAAATAGACTAAAACTTATATGTTTTTTTAAATGCGATATTTTGTATATTATTTTATTTTCCTTGTTACGGGCTTTCTAAAATACTTATTTTCTTAAACGGGGTAAAAATCCATTATTTAACTTTATTACATAGTCGGCCGGTTTAAATTAGGCAATCAAAACAATCAACTAATTTATTCGACGTAAAATGTTGGTTATTGGCACGTTATTTAAAAGCAGCACAAGTTCAGTTTCCGTGTAGTTTATCAAAATATCACGATGCAAAGCAAAATTATCTGGTAAAATTAAGTTAAATAAAATAAGAGCCGTTTAGCAGTTTAGCAGTACTTAAATAAATAAATATAGAGTATATTATAATTTTTGAAATAACAAGGCAAATAAAATAAAAAATAATATATAGAGTGTCCTGTTTAAAAAAAAATAACATAAGTTTGAGTCATTTTTCGAAATAGACAGCTCCCAACGAAGAACCACTTTCGTCACTGCCATTCTACCTGAAAAACGAGACACGGGCGGTGGCTAAGAACTCAATGGGTAGAACAAAACAAAATCAGGGTATCCGGTATATACCTGTACATTTAGATGAACAGTCTAATTTTATAAAAGGTATTTCCAACGACCGCATAGTAAATACCCGGTATAATACCAGTAATAATCACGAATACGAGTATATCTACAATATTTCTTATATATATATATTGTAGATATTATATATTGGTATATTTCTATTCCCGGTATTATACCGGGTATTTACTATTCGGTCGTCGGAAACCTCCTTTATTAAAATTAGGATGTTCATCTAAATCTACAGGTATATACATATATACCTAGATTTTATTTATCTACAAATTGGGTACTTACCCACCGCCCATCACTGACCCTTTCACATTTTCGATAAGTTATAAGATAATCGAGATACAAAGGTTATCGAAAAATGCAAAAATCCTACTAATTAAAAAATAAAAAGTAAAAGAAAGAAATAAGAAATAACTTTGAACTAAGAAGGCTAGGATAAATATGTGTGTAGCATATTTAGTTTCATAATAAGTAGAACAATGATGTGAAAACAGCATCTTTATATCTCTACTCATAAACTAGAAACTCCATAAAACACACAAAAATGGGACATCCTGTACATCTAGCTATCGCCAGTCGATATAAAAATTATCCACACACAATAGTCTAAAAAATAGAAGAAAAAAACAATATTGTCTTCATATTTGTGAAAAAATACATGTCCATATTTATGTAATCGTAGTGACAAAAATAAAAAAATAGAAATAGTGTGCAAGAAATGGGGATTGACACCATTAACGTTTAATTAGTATGTCATATTTCATGGTTTCGATATAAATTACATAATAAACTTTATTCTATTGTTGACTCGCCTTGTACATTCATACTGATATACCTTGTACATGATACTGAAATATTCGGATTTATTAAAAAAAATATATTATTAAAATTCTATATATATAAATATATAAAACCGGGTTCATAGCGTCCTAGGCCTTCCGGTACCCAGTTGCCAGCCTTTCCTATTCTCCCAATCCCCTGGATGAAGGTTTCTCTCCGACATAGCTTTATGTATTCCTCCGATCCATGTTGCTTTCGGCCTTCCCTTTTTTCTCCTTTCTGATGGTATCCATTTCAGAACTTTCTTCGGTATTCGGTCCTCACTCATTCTTTCTACATGCCCATACCATACCAGCTGTCTTTTCTCTATTTCATTTATTATGGTTTGCTGGACATGCATAATTTCCCTTATCTTTATATTCGCTACTCTTTCCATTCTTGATATTCCCGC